TGAAATAACAAAACAGTTGTTTCAATTTATTTAACGTTTTAAATGCAAGGCACACCCTAGATTTCCTGCCGTACACAGGACAGCAACCATAGGACTTTATTTCATTTTTAACAGGAAAAGATGAGGATCACAGATTTCAAAGGCTTATTTTTCTTTTAAAATTGATACAGTTCACAACGATTCTTCTCAGATTCAGAAAAAAATTATGTTAAAGCATAAAAACCAATCCTGGTAGTGAAAGTTTATCCGAGTTACGGGGAATAACTTGTCTTGCTCTGAAAAAAATGCCTGTTACAAATGCCTTATGCTTTTCTCATTTTGCCAATTTACACCCGAGGCACATACAAAAGAAAACTTTTTGACTTAACAGCAGATGTTTAAGCATAGTTTAAAGGACGGTCTCCACAAGAAGTTTTATGTGATTATTTCTGGGCGGTTGCTGTTACGATGAATTATCTCTCGTTGAAATCACAGGTAACCCTAAAGAAAAAAGGAACACAGAAGTATGATGGCAAGAAATAATTTAACAGCAGGTGAAGTACAAATGGAATCACATAAAGAACTGTTATCTTCCCCCTCTTTGGCAGTGGGATTACAACGTTAATCAATTTATCTCGCAGTGGTAAATGTAATCCTCTCTCTCACTGCAATTCTTGGTAACTTTCTAATCCTTGTTACCCTTCGTAAACAATTTTCCCTCCATCCGCCATCCAAACTTTTGTATGGTTGTCTGGCAACAACTGATCTTTTGGTTGGTCTCGTTAGCCAGCCCCTCTATGCCATTTATTGGATATCCATAGCTAACGAACACTGGAATCTTTGTCGATACACAAGGGACGCCGCCTCCATAACGGGTTATTCATTATGTGGAGTATCTTTGGGGACAAACGACGTGGAAGACGGCCATAACTGTTGACGGACTTCTCGCCTTGTTGTTGGGGCTGAGATACAAACAAACTATCACTTTGAAGCGCACAAATATTATTTTAGCTGCCAGTTGGGTTTTATCTGATGTTGCTGCATTATGCTACATTTTAGATTACCACATAACCCTATGATGTGGGTATATCTGTAATTCATCTTGTTTACTGATCTCAATGGTCTCGTTCACA